GGGAGGTACCCTTGGGTCCTTAAGTCCTATTATAAGGAGGTATCCTTGGGTCCTCAAGTCCTATTATAGTGGAGTACCCTTGGGTCCTAAAGACCTATTATAGGGAGTCACCTTTGGGTCCTCAAGTCCTATTATACGAAGATACCCTTGGGTCCTCAAGTCCTATTATGGGAGAGTACCCTTGGGTTCTCAAGTTCTGCTATACTAATTGCTGTCCCGATAATAAGAAGGAAAAGGCCTCTTGCAACTTGATTGGTCAAAAAATGGACAAATCGGATTGCGAGATTCTATTTCGCGGTAATATATAAAGCGCAGCCTCAGACATATACGCCTCATTTGATTGAGCATCTGCGATAACCCTAGGATCAGCCAGAACATGACTATTAGTTGCTCTGATGATAAGAAAGAAAAGTCCTTATGAAATCTGATTGGTCGAAAAATGGACGAATCAAATTTCAGGAGAAATGGTCTCTCTTATTAACAGGACAACTACTAGTCATGTTCGAGCCGATCCTAGGGTCATCGAGGGCGCTCTATCGAATGAGGAAATATGTGGGGAGCTCGGCCCTTTATATGAGCGAGAAATAGAATCTTGCAATCAGATTGGTCCGTTTTTCAACCAGTCAGATTCCAGAAGGCCTTTTCTTTCGGATTATCTGGACAACTACTAGTATAGCAGGACTTGCGAACCCACGGGTACCCCTATAATAGGACTTGAGGACCCAAGGGTACCTCCCTATAATGGGACTTGAGGACCCAAGGGTACCTCCGTATAATAAGAGTTGAGGACCCAAGACTACTCCACTATAATAGGACTTGAGGACCCAAGGGTATCCCCCTGTGGTAGGACTTAGGAACCCAAGGGTGCCAGTTACCGGTAATGGTTTGGTAAGGGTAACTTGCTACCCCTAGACTTTAACTTTAAAAAGTTTAAAGTTAAAGTTTAAAGTGTGGTCACTTTAACTTTAACTTTAAAGTTTAAAGTACTGTACTTTAACTTTGACTTTAAAGTTTAAAGTACTGTACTTTAACTTTGACTTTAAAGTTTAAAGTACTGTACTTTAACTTTGACTTTTAAACTTTAAAGTACCAGTTTAAACTTTAACTTTAACTTTTAAAGTTTAAAGTGGTACTTTAAACTTTAAAGGTTAAAGTTAAAAGTGCCACTTTAACTCTAACTTTTAAAGTAAAGTTAAAGTGCCACCCCTAAACGAGGGCAAAAAAAAGGATCATTTTGCAACCCATTTTTTTCTGTCTCAACTGTTTCTACATATTATGAGTTTTTTTGTTTGAAAGAGCATGTCAGGATGTAGAACACCAGGGAATCCTTCTTTTTTAAATTCTGGTGACCGCTCATTTCGTCCCCTTACAACTCGTTCCCTTACATTTCGTCCCCGTACAATTCGTCTCCTTACATTTCGTCCGAATTACAATTCGTTCCATTACATATTGTCCCAACGTTATATACGGAGTGTTGTGTGTAGTGAATCATCGTGGTTTGACAAGCCAATGAAGAATCAATAGGTCTTCAAACAAATGTATTGATGATGGTGAGTTTAGAATGAACGTGAAATAAGTTATGGGTCTTGTACTTGTGCCTGTTAATGATTTTGTTAAAAGTTGTTCGCTGATCGTCAATGATTTTGCTACTAAAATTTATCATCTACCAAATTATTTCTAAAGAGCTTGGATAGGACAAAAAGGAGGAGGTTTATGCTAATTTAAATATCTGTTTCATGTATTTGATACTGCCTAACTTTAAGGCAGATAGTCGGAGCGGTAAACCAGTATTTAGTTTACAGTTATGGAATATTTCTGAGAGGGTTATTCAAGATTTGCCACGATCGAATAATGTCATAGACTGATGGTATCATGCATCCAGCGATCGTGTATCAATCAAACATCCTTCAGTTACTAAACTTGCTAAACGTATTTTACATGAACAATCTAGATTCGAGATCGATATTGAACGACATTGTCCTGGCGAACAACCAAAGAAAAAGAAAAAAAATTATAAAAATCCTGATGCACGCTTAAAAACGATAGCACTGCCTTGTGACGTCAACAATATTAAAGAATATTTAACTCTAATTGTTATGAATTTGAAAATAAGCACTTGAACTTATGAAAATGAATTTTATATCATATTTCTATAATGAAAATGAACCATCACGCTCTGGGACGAATTGTAATGCGGATGAAATGCAAGGAGACGAATTGTGAGAGGACGAAATGTAATTAATTTTCATTTTTTTTAGAAAAATTGACTTCCTCTGAGCTGGATACCTTGATATCGGTGTACGTGGGTGTGTTTCTGGGTCTGAGTGTATGAGTGGTGCAAGTGTGAAGTTCATTTCGGTGATAACTCCACATACATCCACCCACATCCACAACCGCCTTGCCCACATTCACATCCACCTTCGGTTATTTGGAACCGGTAAAATCCGGAACAGTGCATCCCTAATCTAGAACATTAGAGATTATAGTAATAGCAGCCGTTTAATTTCAATAGATATATGTGAAACAAAAACAAATTCTGAGTTTTTTGTGAAACTCACGTATATTTTCGAAAAAAAGAGTGAATGTAAGTTTTAAGTTCAAGTTTGCGCGGCTCCCCCTCCCCATTACAGACGCATAGCAACGTAAAAGAACATTGAGACTTTAACAACGTGGGTCCCCATTACAGACCATCGCCATTGCCGAAACCTCCCTTCCCCTCCCCTCATTACAGACCTCACCAACCACGCACAAAAGACTTCAGATTCTATGCAATATTTTAATGCTTTCATAATTATCTGAAAAAAAACACTTTTTCGGTCTACGAATGATGCACTAGAATCACAACTTTGAAGATTATGCATGAGTTCCACATTTTAGCTCCAAAGGTGCTGCGCTAACAAGCTGTTTTGTATCATGACTAGACATAAATGTGAGACAGCATTGTGTTCATTGTAAACCAAAATTCTATTAGTCTTTTGTGAGGAAATAGTTTTACGAAATGTGATCATATTCTGAATGAAAAGTATCAACAAAAGAGAGCAGCTATATAAAAGCTCTATGAGAATCACTTGCCACACTGGTTGTAATCTGTATTTTTCACTGGCTTTAAGCACGGCTTATATTTCTATTATAGCCCTTGGTACAGTTATTTCGCCATTGATCACTGTTCCATTTCGATCACCATTGACTTCTAGCCATCTTTGGTATTCTAGTTATTACATAATTGGACTAATTTTTTTAATCGATATACTATGGATTTTGTATTATTCGATTAGAGATGAATGGCACTGTTCAATAGTTAACACAAAAGATCAGAAAACCTATGACAACGAATGTTCATCTTTAATCAAAAGCGATGGAAATTCAGGTCAACAAGAAATACAAAGAAAAAAATGGAAAGATATCTGCATGATTGGACTGCTATTTGTCACTTTTTTTATGTTTGTTGGTTGTGAACACGGTTATGGCAATTTTATCTATAGCCATGCTCATTTACATTTGAATTTTCCAATGAATTGGGCTGCCTACTTAAACTCAGCTTTCGGTTGCTCATTAGTCATTGGTCGATTAGCAGGAGTGTTTGGCGCACTTGCATTGAAACCGAATCATATCATCTTAATTGATATGACGGGTTGTTTAATCGCAATAATGTTTCTTATTTTATCTTCTAAATCAGCATCTACTCTGTGGATCAGTACGATAGTTTACGGTTTCTTTTTAGCCTCATTATACCCGGCCATGATCGATTGGGCTCAATTACATTCACACGTAACTAGTAAAATTCTAACAATCTTTATTGCTGGAGGAGCAGCAGGCGCCGCTGCAATACCCTTACTAATCGGATATTTATTCAACGTTAAATTATTAGGTCCTTTGGCTCTGAGCATTATTTCGCTACCTGGCATGATATTAGCAATTCTTTTTTACATTTTTGCATTATGTTTGTCATGAAATCGTTAAGGGTGTAGGTGCGGTTGTAGGTACACTAAAAAAATGGCACGATACTGGGTGTGGTGAATCAATATGAAACAGACCGACCTATATTTCTTAAAATACAAATCAATCTGCTACTCTCAACTTTTGCTTTTCAGCAACCGATTTTTCTATGTCAAATATAAAAATACTAAATAAATTTGCTTGAATTAGAATTTCTTTAAAAAATTAATGCAGAGTTAATTTTGCCGACGCGTTTCATGTTTATTTTATTTAAAAATTTTGAAACACTCATCAGGGCTCTGCATTTACAATAAAAAGCAAGAATGAAATTTAAATATGAAATGAAAATTTAAAATAGAAGTTAAAAGTTGGGAGACAATAAAAAGTTAGGGGAGGAAACGGGAGACAATAAAAAGAGAAATGATAACATTCTAGAAAGTAATGTCACTTATTTGTCTCTGAAAATATAAGTAATATTTAATTTCAGTATGTGATATCTTAGTTTGAATAATACCAATATAAAGAATAATATCACTTATTTGTCTCTGAAGATATAGATGGATAATATCTGATTTTAATTATCCAGTTTTAATTGTATCAAATGAGACATGTGAAGTTGAACAAATATCAATTTTTAGTATATTGAATAACTCGAGGCTTAGTTGGTGGATATTTAAATATTAATTTTTAGTATATTGAATAACTTGACGCTTAGTTGGTGGATATTTAAATATAAGATGGGTGTGGGTGTGTGTCAAGCTACCATGATCGATTTCGACCTTGCTTAAGGGTCTTATCAAATGGCTTAAACTAATCTGGATTTGAAAGTAAATCCAAATTAGCCACCAAAATTGTTCATAAAAGATAATTCAATATAGAATCGTTCAATTTCCAATTCGTGGAGATTTGAACAATAGAGAAGAGCACGAATGAGAGCAGCACGTATTAAAAATTGATAGTGTTGTAACATGATATTTGTTTGCAATATATGAGGGAATGCATCAGATTGAAGATTCATATCTTGATAAATTCTTGTCTTTTATTTTCCTTCGTAATCATTAATTTCAGGAATAAGATATTGTATTTTTGTAATCGATTGATGTTGTTATTTTGATATGAATATGTTTTGAATGAAGACAATTGATTTTCTTAAGGAAAGCAAGAAGTTCATGTTTCGGTTCATTCCAAATAAAGAATTTTTGATTAAGACATCTTGCAATAACTTCTTTTCTATTGAATAATCTTGCATATAACTTGTATGTTAAATGATATAGATATATATCGACTATTCCTTTGATTAAGGATGAAGAATTTGAGCCACGAACAATCTGTTGATAGAATTGGTTTTCATGGATATTAAATTGATTTTCAAGAATAAGTTGAACACGTTGAACAATAGTTGTTATTGATGTTCCATTGATTTGTTCACTTCGTACATAGATACGTAGAAATTTTTCTAAAGCTTGAATAAGTAAATGATGAGGTAATGTAGTACAAAGATCATGAATATCAATTTTAACGAAAAGAGTTGTTGATTGAAGTGAACCTTTTTGAGCATATTATTCCAAAGCTTCAATTGTATTGCCACCTGAAGGAAATGTAAAACTAGTGTGAACAATAAAATCGATTTGAGGTTGAAGAAGATTAATGGACGAAACATGAGATAGCATTAATAGGTTCATCTGTAAAACATGTCGTCATCGGTTGAATTATGATATCGTTCTAATTCAAAAACAAAACAAAAAACAAAAGAAAGATTTACAATTTAGCAAGAAAAAGGAAAGAGATCTTTAGTATGTCATACTTACATTACGTATTTCTGGTACGAAATATAGTTTGTTCATTTAAAATATTGTCGATTGATTGTAATACATCATTTTTTCATATTGTTCAGTTGTAATTGCATTACGATGACATAGATTATGTAATGTTTTAACTATTTGATTACTCATATTTGTAAGAACATCTTGAACTTGATTGTTTGATGTTTTCAATGTCATATTACTAATTAATGAAAAAATACCAGTTTGTTCCATAAAGATATTTACTTTTTATTTCCATTCATTCTCAGGACAAATATATAAAACATTGGTATTTTTAATTGTTCTTTTTACAATGTTCAACTTGTTTAAAGCAGATTGAATAGTTCGAAAACATGATTTTTCCTTCATACTTCTTGCTAAAACAAATGTGTCCTTTGTATTTTCATTTTCTTCTTTCTCTTCTCGATAATAACGAAAATTATGCTGATCATCTTCCATTGGGAATACTAAGGACATATTATTTTCTTGTGCCATTTTTCTTTTCTGATAATGCTAATGATATCGTTTATTACAAGATTCTGAATTCGACGATTGACTTTTTTTCTTTGATTCTTGTGTCACTTGATTTTTGGATTTGTTTAAGTATTAGAAGTAGTTTTAATCTACAATGATATGATTTGATTAAAATGATTTGAAAAAAAAACAAAATAAAGAAAAAGGAGGGGTTAATTTATTCTTTCAATAAAATGAAAAAACAATAGAATTAGATATAATGAGATAGATCGATAGTTTCATAGTAAATATAGATATGAATATTTGTAAGATTTATTTTAGAAGTGAATAGTGCTTTTATAGTTTAGAGGAAGAGGATTAAACAATTCTCTGATGTTCAGAGAAAATGATTGTCACAAGGGTTTTTTTTTGTATTATTTTGTTTGTGCCACATGATCGGTTGTTGGTCTTTGTTCCGATGTTTTTTTTCGTTCTAGAATGTAAAAAAAAACGGATACGAGGTTTGACATTCGATGACATCAGTCTATTGGTAAAGGAGATGAACTTACTTTTTGGAATTTTATTCATTAATAATGATTGTTTAGGCCGTTTACGTATGAGTTCCTTTGCGGCATCGCGACGATTTCGATTGCCAACAATAAGTTTAATATCTTCGTCTATTTCCTTTTGAAATGTATGATCGAGTATTTGATGCATATAACGTTTAAAAGAATGGAGACGCTTTTCATGTGTATAGTGAACAATAATTTTTTTCTCAAATTTAGTATCTTGTTTCTCTGGTTCATTGGCTATGTTTGTTCTTTGAAGTAAGTTTTTGTCTGTAGCATCATTTTGAAGACCGGCTGTAGCAACACTTAAAGCGACTTGTGACTGTTGTTGTGTTGGTTTTCTTAGAATGTTTTCACGTATTCGCTTAAATTGTTTTTCATCTGTACTAATGGATAAAAATGTTGTTGTTGAAGACATATTTTCGACGAAAAATTTGTCAAATTGTTTCTCAATAAATGAAGATGAATAACTATAAGTAAGTATTATTGATAATAATTAATTATTATGCTTTCGTTTATGTGTGATCATGACTTACCCATTAAATAATAACATTAATCTAATGAGACGTTGTTCATGTTGAAAAACTTGATATGTAGATGAATATCGAACAGCCTTTGTAAGTGCATTTTGTATAATATTTTTAAAGACATGACGAGGATGATCAGACAAAAATGGTGTAACATATGGTTCAGCTGCTGGTTTATGATAGACAGATGTTGATAAAATACCATTATTATTGGTAAGAAGTACATCGAGAAAAGGAAGACTTTTATCAATTTTATAATCTAACTTGATATTTGAATGCCATTGATTTGCATCATCTAATAATTTTTGTAGCTCTTTTTCAGATCTATTCCATGTCATAAAAACATCATCAATATATCTAAGAAGATATTAATGCAAAATCTATTTTTTTTCTCTCATTTACACTTACCTGCCATAAAATTCATTTGTTATATTTTGTTGACGAACAAATTCTTTTTGCCATTTCCACATAAAAATATTGGCTAGAGTTAATGTAAAGGATGAACCCATTGCTCCACCAGTTGTTTGGTTATAAATTTTTTTATCATAGACAAAAACATTTTCTTGTAGTACAATCGATGCTAATTCTTTTATTGTAGTCAGATCAATCCCTTTGACTTTTGTATATCCATGCACTTGAAGAAATTCACCAAGTATTTTAATTGATTCTTCTTGTGGTAACATTGTATATAAATTATGAATATCAAATGTACAAAACAGAGTTGATGATTTAAAGAAACACTTTCGAATATATTTATGAAGTCCTTCAATTAAAGAAGCACCATCAATAATATTTGTTTCTTTACATTTATCATTGAATATAGGTTGTAATATTTGATCTAAAAATTTTGAAATATTTGTTGTTGGAGCATGAATAGTATTTTCAATCGGTCGAACAGGTATATTATCCTATATTTTGAAATAGAATAAAAAAAGAAAATTTTAACAGTAAATAAAAAAACATATTCATTCTACTTTATGTGTTTTTGGATTAAAATATAAATGTGCTAATTCACATTTTGTTCGATCAGGCATCATTTGTTCATATTGCCATTTGCGAATAAGATGTTGTCCACGAAGTCTATTAAGTAATTGAATAACTTTATTTGTAATATCATTAAATGGATTGTCAGATAATTCTATAAAAGCATTTGTATCAGAGAAAAATTTTTGTGCTTTTTTTTCAAATTCAGTTGCTGAACCAATATAAAAATTATGACCGTTATCAGTAAGACGTATAATTAGATTTTTTTCTTTAATTAACATTCGAATTGATGTAGCAATATGTGCTTGTTGTTGAGTTTCTATTTGATCTTTATATGATAATGGAGTCAAATAATAATGACGAAGAGAATTAAGAAGATTTGTTGAATATTGTTTGAAAATTGATGCTGTCAATGGAATACCTTGATTTTTAATTAGATTCAATTCAACTTTCTGATAAATCTCTTTATGTTCCTTTTCTAGTTCTTTTAGTTGTTGTTTTTTTGGACGAATAGCACTTTGATTTAATCTTATATAAGATGGACCTAAATCAAAAGAAATTATAATGAATTTTTTTTTGTGTGTGCTTCAAGTTGAAAAATCGTACCAAGTGAAAGTTGATTCCATTGTAATGTATTGAATGGATTGTCAATAAGATCTAGATATGGTTCAGGTGATACACCAATCATATTTTTAGCTGATGATGAACGGTGACGATTTTGAAGTAATATACCTCGAGAAGATGATATTTTATTAGAGATATCTTGTTTTAATCGATTTGTTCGATAAATTATATATTCTTTAAACTTATTCAAAATAGATACGCCTTCGTTTGTAATATTAATATTGAATAGTTGTATTTCTAGTTGTTTAAATTCATTTTCATATTGTTGCTCATATTTTTGTAGTTTGTATTCATAAACATTGAAAAAAATATTTAACCAAGTACGTTTTGCTTCTTGTATAAGTTTATAACGTTTATTTTTTATTTCAATACTATTTTGAGTATTGTTCAATGGTAAATAATTTATATGCCCAATAAAATTTTCTAAATGATCAAAGTTTTGTGGTAAAAATTTACATAGAATTCGCATTTGTAACATAAGATAATCTTTCCAAATTTCACTTTGTTGTTCTCGTATGGTTATTAATTTATTTAAATATTCATTCTGAAAATGGAATAAAGAAAAAGAAAACAAGCATGTCATTCATAAGAATCTTTCGATTATGGATGATATTCTATTCGCTTACCAAATTTATGCTTAATTCAAAAGTGTTAATTGTTTTAAGGACATCTTTTTCATGAATATAATCTTTAAATTTAATTAATTGGTCATTATTTCTCATTGATAGATAACTTCTTTCGCTACGAACATATTCTTTCAAACAATGGTCAATTTGAGCTAAAGTCAAACTTGTCAGTGGGCACGATTGGCATTGTTCATTTAATTGTAATTCACATTGATTTATTTGTTTTTTCAAATTTTCTAAATAGTTCACAAGAAAATCGTGACATAATTTAGTATTATTTGTCGTTTTAGCCATTTTATAGAGTTCATCCTAGATTTATCGAAAAACAAAAGAAAATTTCTTTTATATGGGTAGAACTTTCGAGAAAGCGAGGAAACTCACTGGCCATATTTGCTCTTGTAAACCAATATCTAAATAAGATTGCCATAGATGTTGCTCAATTTCCAGATAATATTGTTGATCAAATAAATTCAATCGTATATATATGGGGGTTGCAAGCTTGACTGATACCCCAATATTGATTTTTTTATCTACCCATAAGAAAAATCTGATTTTTTTACCACTTATACTACATATATAATGCTATTCATCTATCACTATTATAACTTATATATATCACTATAAATGAGAATTATTAAGTACATCTTTGTATTTATTGTGTTAAACGTGCTTCATATCGTCTATGTTAACCTATGCCATTCCTACTAAGAGGTTTGAAACATAACCAAAGATGAGTATATAGCTTCATAAATGGTTAATAAGAAAATACAACTTATCATTTTGTTTATCTACGAATAGGATATTTATTTAAGTTCAAATTACATAAAGCAGCAATGACCTGTATGATTTTAGTTATTTTATGAGAATCATGAACAGATCCTCTGTAAACATCACCAAGAATAGCATAACTTTTGAGACGTTGATTAATATTTTCAATCGCTGCTCTTGCACTATTAATATCGCGATTGAAATCTTTGTCTTCTTGTGTTAATTCACGTCCATGAGGTTTCTTTCTTGGAGTGACTACATATTCTTCACCGATATACGCCTTGTCACCAATAATTTGTACAGACTCTTCAACATGTTCTAATAGACCTGATTCTCGAAGAACTGTAATATCATGTTTACTTCCATGGTAACATTCAGATACATGCACTATTCGATGACGAAAATCACAAGCTATTTGTACTTTTATTGCATAATTTGTTGGACTTTTTGCATGATAATATTTTTTACGTTGTTCTGAATCATGTGGTTCAGGAATTGCAATAAAAGTCGAGTCAACAATTAATTTATGATGTTGTTGAGGTCCATGTGATGTTCTTCTGTTAGGTAGATCAGCAGGTAAAGAAACGAATGCTGGATATACAAACGAATGTAAAATATCCACTACTGCTGTTAAGAAATAGTTCACCCCTTGATGAGTAAAATTCAATTCTGAAGCAATGTAGGGTTCAGAATGATAATGTTTAAAATACCATAATGTAACCACAAGCAAATTCATAGGAGATAAATAGGATGTGGTGGCACTGCTCACATGTAACTTGTTTCTATGAGAACAATAATTTATTAATGGTTCTTCATACATAGAATATAATTCGTGTACTTGTTCAACGTCATGCCCAGTATGCTGTATGCAAGATGCATCAGTACGTTTCCATTCTGACCATGGACGTTGATCTAGAATACAGAAAAAAAGTGTTTTATAATGATTCATTTTGCCTACTAGTATAGAAGCAGATAATGAGCTAGAAGGTGCATGCATAAATCGAAAAAGTTGATGTTACTTACTATCATCTAAAATTTGAAAATGTTGCTGATTAGCAACTTTCTTCTCTTCCAATTTTTTTTGTCTTTCTTCTTCAAGTTCTGGTGTACAATAATTACAGTTGTCACGATGACGATAATAATTGGTGTACAAACCAGATTTTCCCGAACCAGTACATGTCCAAGTTAGCATCGAATCACAATCAGCACAATATTTTCGACGATCAGTTGGAACAGATTCACATTGAGCACAATACCATTCAATTTGTGGAGAAAACATAATTCACGTGTACTATGTATGTGTTATCGATAGAAAGTATGGTAGAGAACGAAGAACAAAGGAAAGTGAAAAAATCACAGCTAGAATAAGAATGACTTAATTTGAGTATATCGCTAGAACAGAATGGATAAAATATATACCGACCATAAGATGTAAACAAATACGACGTGAAGCACGTTTAACACAATAAATACAAAGATGTACTTAATAATTCTCATTTATAGTGATATATATAAGTTATAATAGTGATAGATGAATAGCATTATATATGTAGTATAAGTGGTAAAAAAATCAGATTTTTCTTATGGGTAGATAAAAAAATCAATATTGGGGTATCAGTCAAGCTTGCAACCCCCATATATATATATATATATATTTATTTATTTATTGTGAAAGTAATTTTTAAAAAATAATCGAAAACCTATGTAAACTGACAAACATGACTCTCTCCTGTGACTCCTTGCGCTTGGTACTAGAAACAAAGGAAAAAACAAAGAAATAATATCATAGTTATTGAAATATAAGAACAAATCTAATTTTATTATACTCACAAGAAGTATCCCGCTACTCATTAGTAGTTTGGATGTGAGCGTGAATAGTAACCACAATACTAAATATGTAGTATTTCGATTTTACAAATAAAATCTTATCAAGTGGCAAATACTTGTGTGATAGCGAGTCATATGAACGTCTTATTGCATTGGCGAATATGTCATTATAGGTAAGTTGTTTACCTATAATCTGGTCGTGTGTTACAGTTACCACAATACAATAGTATTTCGAATTTACAAGAATTCTTATCAAGTGGCAAATTTGGAGCATGTTGTCGATAACAATTTTTCGCCTTGTAAATCTTTGTATTTTGATAAATGAGTATAGATATTCGCCTTAATTCTTGGTGATTAAGTCAACTAATTGTAGTCGTGTGTTCAAGAGATTGATTGATTTCTTGATAGTGAATGTCACCAAATCTCTGCTTTTGTTATTTTATCAATTGAACTCAAATGTTAGTATCCACTTGTTGACTCTGATGAGTTGACACTGACGAGTCATCATACTATAATATACAAAAATAAAAATGAAATGATAAATGTATGAATAGATCACATTGACATTTTCGTCATTACTTTGTTTTTCATCGAATCATTATGATGAGTCATGATGAAATATATTGTAATTAATCATCTAGAACAAAAGGACAAAAATGAATTGAACGAAGGGAATAACTTGATATGTAATAAATCAGAAGTTATCGAAAGAGGATAATAGAGTATGGGGCAAAAAAACGGGAAAGAAAAAAACAAACAAAGTATTATTTTGGACTTAAATGAAGTGGTGAGTCCGTAGTGTTAGTATTGGATGGTATTTGAGGTGAATCTAAATCGATCGTAATTGGTGCAGGTGTAGAAAGATCGATTGTTGTTGGTGACGGTGTACGTAGATCGATCGTACGAGATGTTGATGGTGATAGATCAACTATTTCGACCAAGTTTCCTGCTGCTGTTGTTGTTGGTAAAGGTTGATCGATCCGTTCATGTTCATGTTCAGTCGTTATCTCTGCCAACTCACGAAGGATGGCTGATGCATCATTTATAGTTTGGCCTATTGAATCGATAATTAGATAATGAAATTTTTCTTAAAAATAATTTTTACTTTGTTGTTGAGGTAAACTCTTTTGTTGTTCAGATAAACTACTTTGTTGTTCGGATAAATTACTTTGTTGTTGAGATAAACTACTTTGTTGTTGAGATAAATTACTTTGTTGATGTTCATTGAGGTTGGTCTCCTATTTTATATTAGAAAAAAAAATGTTCATTTTTACATCTATTTTGAGTAAACAAATAGTACGTCGTACCTCAATAAAAGCAGTATTTAAAGGATCCGGTGTCGTCTGTGTTGATGAGTGAACAGTAATGTCTTGTTTAGAGAATTGAAAATAATTAGACATTTTTGCAATAAATTTCATTTCAGTTTTCATATTTACCTGCATCGTCATTCAATGCTTCTACTGCTCGACAAAATTCTTCATCGTCAAGTAATTTATCGATTTCATCGAAAGTTGAATTTTGCTTTCGTTCTTCTGCCATGAATAATATAATCTGAAAGATAATCAATTCAATCTAGAATGCAATTTTAAATTGCGATCAAGGTAATAGTGATCATGACAATACGACATAGATTGATAATTCTTACAGTTAATATAAAACAATTTAAAATGATAACAGAAAATGAGAGAATAGATGGATGTGTAGAGTTACCACAAAACTAGAGTTTTTCGAATTTACTTACGATTCTTGTTCGGGAGATACAACGGATTAGAGAAGAGGACAAAGTTGTCAAGATGCTTTGTGCAATGTGTCTGTGACGGTTCGTGTAGATAAATTAAAACGAAAGAAAAGATTGTGTTAGAGTAGGAATGTTTTTCTATTGATTAAGGTTTTTTTCTTACCAGTGGTTATTTGTTATCGTTTTTTTTAACGTAGTACAATATTGGTCTGATTTTTTTGATTTTGTTTGTGCGTAGCATATGGAAGTGGAAAGCATGTCAAAAGTAGATAAACAATCAGAATGAGAATATAGAAAGCAATAGGGATTAGAGTAAGCGATTGCTGTTTCAAAATGACTCAAATATCTTTACTATTATTTTACATTGCCGTTTTCGAAATATGATAGAAGTTATTTCTGGTAATGCAATTGGGTGTGCATGGATATTTATCCTAAATTATTAAAAACATTCGTATGTAATGCAAAGGCACATCGTAATTTATGACTGAGTATTTGGGTGTGGGTGTGTATACAAATGAATTTCATTTAATAGAACAAGCAATACTTACGACCGGTTTCGACCTTGCTTAAGGGTCTTCGTCAGGTAAGTTCGGCTATTAAATTTTTAAAATGTTGCAATTCAATCCTAAATCTATAAAAATGAGATAGTTTATAGAAAATTTCAAAGATAAAACTCTCTCTAAACTACCAATCAATATTTTATAGAAGAATTACAATTATTTCGAAAATTTTTTGACCAATTCAAAAGAATAGTCAAAAGTTTTAGAAATAAAAGAATTCGCAGCTATTTAAATATATTCAAGAACTCAAGAAATTCAAGAATATACAAAGGTGTGTATACAAATGAATTTCATTTAGTAGCAGAAGCTAGACTTACGATCAGTTTCGACCTTGGTTGGAGTAGTTGGTGTTAACGTAGCACGGTTTCTGCTTTTTGGTTCGTTGGATTGTTGTTGATGTGTCGTGCGCTTTACTTTACTCGAAGCTGCAAGTTGGCTAGGTTTTTGACATAATTCGTCCTTGTCGACTGTAAAATCTAGGAAAATTCCACTCGAGTCATTATCATGTAACTTGTCATTTGGAATTATACTCTTCGTGTGATCATTTTCGTTAGATTCATCTTTCTTTTCAATGATTGTTCGCTGAAGATTATCAAACTCAATATTTTTATCTTCATCTTCATCTATATCGTCACCATATTCATGAAAGATATCATCGCATCGATCAATATCTTGTTCAACCTATATTAAAGTATGTTCTCTTAGAAAATCATTCAAAATCTTTAAAATAATACGTACATCTTCGCCTGAATCAGTGATTTCGCCTTCTAGAAATCAAGAACTCAATCTAAACAAGTATTGAAATCTGAAATAAGTAATGCAAAATTCTCTAAAATTGAATAATAATAGAACAATTTTCTTAAACAAATTATATTAAAGATCGACCTATATCTCTCTCTCTATTAGAATTGCTTTCTAATAACTTACAAACGTACACAATTTACATAATATTTAGAAAGGAATCTGAAAATTCAGTTACAATATGCAAAAAAACGATATCGAATGTGTCGAATAAGTTATTTTTCATAGATTGAAAGAGTCTAATGCCGAGACATTAATTTTAGAGATGTATAGTTACTTCGATGATAGTTCAATTGGATTTCTTGTCTGTCCGAAGTTTGGTGAAAGCACGAAGTTTTAATTTGTAGACAGATACAAGGTGTTCACTAATATTGTTAAAACGTTTTATCATAATATCGAACATAACTTTAGTTAATATTCTATCGGATAGATGTGTAGATTCATTTTCTTTTAATTTATTCATTGCATTATTAAACTGTAATCGATATTGATTTGCTCGAAATTCAGCAGCTTCAACATAAACGCGCATCATATCAACTTTTGTTCATTGTAAAATTTTATCATATCGACCTTTTAGAGATTGAGCTGTCTCCGTATCCATTATTGTATGTATTGGAGTAGGTATCGATATTTCGAGTTTATCAAATGATGTTGGTAGATGATTATGAGTGATACGCTGTTTTAATAGAGCAAGTTCTAGTTTTGATTTCTCCATATCAAATTTCTTTTGTGTAAGATATTGAAATAGTTGTTTCTAAATAGAAGAAGATAACTAGGAAATATAATGTTTTATACTGTTCCAAAATTTACTTGATACGCATTTGAATTTTCACTATAAAATTCAAGTTCGGATAATCGATCAAAGAAATCATATTCAATACGGATGATTTCTTTTTCAATAGGTATTTGATATAGAATAATCTTATAGTCTTAAACAAATTTCGTAATAGTTTCTTCAATTCTACTTGTCCAGCGATTGCGTAAATGTCGCTTTTTCTCTTCCAATTGATTTTGGTAGTCGGACATTTTAATTCTATATTTCTCTAGAATTTTCTCTACGTATTTTACACACTCATCCTGATAGATTTCGTTCCGATGCGTGGCTTTCGTTTGATTTTCTGCAATCATTTTTAATTTCAGCTCGTTAGGCCACAGTAGTAGCGACGGTTCTTTATTTTGTACTAATGTACCCTGACCAGAACGTAAATATGTCGTATAAAGATATTTTTCTAATTTAATACGTTGAAGTTGATCAATGAGAAATGCAATAGCTCGTAATTCTTCCGTATAAATAACAGTGCCAGTTTGTTGACGGAGACCGAGGATCATCCGATCGAATTCTTTACTTTCATGTGATAAATATTTTGGTATCAATTGACTGGAGATGACGACGTTATCTGTTTTTATTCGCGATAGTACATCGGCTGCTCGAGTAGTACTTTCGGATTCCTGATGTGTAGCCGATAGGTGACTTAACTTTCCAGATAAATATTGTTG